GGAGGAGGAGGAGGAGGAGGAAAAAGAGGAAGAAGAGGAGGAGGACGCGCCCTTCGAATTGGGCCAGCAGGGCGCACTCGACCAGGCAGCCAGGCGCTTGGCAGAGCTCTGGGTCGCCCCTTGGCCGCGGACGGCGAGCACGGCCTCTCCCTGTGAGCGGCCAGGAGCTCGCTGCGCGCCCGTGGCACGCGGTGCGAACCGGCACGTCCTGCGAGCGCAGCTGGCCGGCGAGGCGATGGCAGCGCGCTGCGACGATACGCTGGCAGGCTACTGGGAGGAGCTACTCGGGCGGCCCCTGGACGCCGCGGCGCGGGAGTTCTTCGGCCTCGTCCGCGCTGAGGAGGGGGAAGAAGGAGGAGGGAGGGGAGGAGGAGGAGGAGGAGGAGGAGGAGGAGGAGGAGGAGGAGGAGGAGGAGGAGGAGGAGGAGATGCAGGCCGCCTGCTCCGAACCTCTTCGGGCTGCAGTGGGCTATTGCGCGACGAGCCGCGGCCTTCTTGGCTGGCTGGACTACGTGCGTGCTCAGCGTGGCAGCGGACCTCGGCGCGGGCTCCTTCCTCGAGCTCCTGGGTACGGCGCCGCGTCTTGGCGAGGCCATCTCGGGCGCTTGGACAGAGCTCTCCCTCCAGCTCGCAGACCCCTGTGCCGGGCGCCTCTCTGCTGCAGCTGGACGACGAGGCAGGGCATTCTCTCGGCGTCACCCCAACATACTTGTGCTATATGTGCGTCGCCCTCCCAGGGGCGACGCCCGTACCGAGAATTCTTATAGTACATGCATCGTGGCGGGCGCTTTCTGCACCAGTTGGTGCTGCTGACGGGGCAGCGGGTGCCGGCCTGAGACGCGTCCGCAGCCAGTGGCTGGCGGACTTGCCGGGCGTGGACCTCGTCGATCGCGTGGTAACGTCGAGCACAGCGGCGAGGCCAGTTGGCATTGGATCGACGTGTCGATCTGCCACCTGGCGGCCGAAGGCGTCGCGCCGGTACCTGCGCGCCGCGCTGGCGAGGCCGCCAGGAGGGCCGAGGGCCAAAAGCACGCTGGGTTCCTTGTGGGGGCAGACTAACGCCATTCGTGGCGGAAGCCCAGGGTCGCCTAGGCGGGGAAGCCCTTCTGCGGCAGGTGCGAACCTTTCCCGCCGACAAGCAGCTCGGCGAGCTGCTCGGCCCTACAAGGTCCTCAGCTGCGATGTCGGGCGCAGCTGGCCCTGCAGCGCCGCCGAGCTACGATGACGACGGCATCGACGGCGGCAGCCGCGATGAGTGACGACGACGACGACGACGAGACAGACGGGCGGTGAGCAGACCCACTCCCCTATCCTTCCCTTGCCTCCCCGTCGTAGCCCATCCTTTCTTCCCCGCCCTTTTCCAGTCTCCGTCCTCCTGCGCCCTCCTTCCTCCTCCGTCCGCCTTCGTCCTTCCTCCTCGTCGTCATCCCTCCTCGTCCTCCGTCGTCAGTCCTTGTTTCTCCTCCCCGGCAAGCGTCCCCTTCCCTGGCGGCCTCTTCCCCCCCTCCTTGCTCTTCCTCCTCGTCGTGGCCACTCCTTTTTCTTCCTCCCTCCTCCCTGCTCTTTCCTTTCGCGTCCTACTCCTTCTTCCTCCGTCCTCAGTCCTCCTCCCTGGCGGCCGTTCTTCTCCTTCAATGGGAGTTGGGGGTGTCGAACGCTCGAAACGAGCACATCGCTCGAGACATCCCCACGATGCGGGCGCGAACGGGCGAACGTCATGCCCCCTTGGCGGCCGCAAGTGGATTGCTGAAGCCAACGCCTCGCTCGAGACATCTTCTCAATCTGCTTCAAAAGCAGAGGAGCCTGCGCCACCAAACGGGGACACTGTTCGAAGCATCCCCGCAATCTGGGCGCGAAGGGGCGAGAGTCCTACCCCCATAGCGGCTCCCCGCTGCGGTGCTGAAGCCAGTGACTCGTTCGAGACATCTTTCTAAGTTGCTCCGAAAGCAGAGGAGCCTGAGGGCAAGCTGCCTGAGGCATCCCCGCAATCTGGGCGCGAACGGGAGAGTGAGACCACCCCTGGCAGTTCCCCGATGGGGTGCTGAAGCCAGCGCCTCAGTCGAGACCTCCTCTGAATCTGCGTTCAAAGCACGGGGGTCTGCGCTACCAGCAATGCAAACCGCTTGAGACATCCCCAATTCTGGCCGCGAATGGGGAAGCGATGCCACCCACGGCGGCCCCACTTGGGGTGCTGAAAGCAGGGCACCGCCCAGGACATCCTCACAATCTGTTCTGAAAGCAGAGGAGTCGCTCGAGACATCTTCACACTCTGCGAGTCTGAGTGTGAATGGTCTGTGAGCGTTGAATATGCTTGTGAGTGTGTATGTGTGTCAGTGAGTCTGAGTGTGAATGCGAGTGTATGAAATATGTGTGAGTGAATGTAAACGCTTGAGAGTGAGTGAGTCCTAGTGCGAGCGAACCTGAGTGCGAATGTATTATGAATGTAAATGAGTCTGAGTGCGGTTGGGTCTAAGTTTGAACGAGTCTGAGTACGTGTGAGATTCGTCTGGGTGTGATGAGTGAGTCTAGGTGGGAGCGAGTCAGCGTGTGAGCGAGGCTGAGTACGAGTGAGTCTGAGTGTGAATGAGTCCTAGTGCGTGAGTGAGTTTGAATATTGAGAGGAGAGAGGAGGAGAGGAGGGGATACTGCTGATGCGCCACAGTAGTTACTCGACGCAGAAATACCCATATGTGTACCTGTACGACCACCCTTTGGGCAATAAGGAGGTTCGGGGCCACCAGCGTTCCACTCGATCGGTTTCACGATCGGTATCGCTATCGATCTCACCCGATGGGTCTCACTCGATGTACTTCACAATCGATGTCACGATTGATCTCACTACTGGTCTCACTATCGATCTTACTATCGATCTCACGACCGATCTCACGATCGATCTCACAATGAACTTCACTATCGATCTCACAATCGATTTCACTACCAGTCTCACTATCGATCTCACTTTCGACCCTACGATCAATCTCACTATCGGTCGGAGGCTGGGGGGGGGGTGGGAGATCGCAGTGGAACGGAGAGTCCCCCACTGGGAAATCGGTGTCGGTTTCGGGTTCGTGTCGTGCGTGCGGGCGAGGCAAAGCTGCGCCAGCGGGCGAAAGCACTGCTTCCGCTGCGGCTGGAGCGCGGCAAGACCACTGTTCGGCCCTTCTCCCCCCCCGTGGGCGGGCGGTGGCTTGGGGGTGTCCCGCCGTGGCGTCCCGTCGGTGTCCCGTCGGTGTATCGCCTGTGTCCCGTCGGTGTACCGTCGGTGTACCGTCGGTGCCACGTCGGTGCCCCGTCGGTGTCCCGTGTCCCGATTGGTGTCCTGATTGTGTCTTGGTGGTGTGTCGACGGTGTCTCGATTGTGTTTTTGTGGTGTCCCGATAGGTGCCCCGAGTGGTGTTCCGATGGTGTCCTGATGGTGTCTTTGTGGTGTCTGCATGGTGCCCTGGTGGTGTACCGATGGTGCCCCAGTGGTGTCCCGATCGTATCCAGGTGGCTTCCAGCATCGCTAGTGAGATCGATAGCGATACTTAGGGGGTGAGATCACAGAGAACCCGATACGCCAAACGGTTTTCAATGTCACAATCACCGGCCACGGGATCGACAGTGATATTGATCGAATGAATCTGTCAGTGACGTGAAGGGTGATCGGGGAAGCGAAATCTGTTGACGGACCGCGACAGGGACACCGACTGCGATAGAGGGAGATCTATGGGGCGATACGCCCAGGTTCTGCCAGGCGAGTTCACTTAGTGCCACGAGCGCCCCATGGCTAAATAAATGCCACCCGTCTTTCTGCTTATCTCCGCTTCCTCTCTTTTCTCTCTCCTTCCGCATCTTTTCTCTCCTGTCGTCTTGTTTCCCCATCCTCGCGCACTTTCGCCTTCTATTCGCTGTTTCCTGGCCTTCAGAGGCCGCAGGGCAGGGGGCCGGCTACTCTGTGAGGGGTTTGACCAGACGGCGGCGACGGCATCTCCTTGGTGTCCCGCGGTGCCCCTCCGCCGCGCAAGCGGCCAAGGGGGCTGCCCGGGTTCGGAAGTTCGTGGCGGAAGGCTGCAACGACGGCGACGGCATCTCGCGAATGTCCAAAGAGGACGGTGTAGATGACGACGGGGAGGAGGAGGAAGAAGAGGAGAAGGAGGAGGGGGGATGAGGAAGAGGAGGAGGAGCAGGAGGAGGAGGAGGAGGAGGAAGCCAGGAAGAGGGCTCGATATCTGCGCTTCGCTCTTCCTCGTTCGCCGCTCCCTCCTCCGCCACCCTCTCCTCCTACTGCACCTCCATCCTCGTCGTACGCCGCCGTTTCGTCTTCATCATCGTCTTCCGTCTCCTCGTCATCCTCCTGCATCGTCCTAGTCTTCCTTCGCCATGTTCCTTCCTCGTCCTTCGCCACCTCCTCATCCTCCGCTCCCATCCCTCCTGCCCCTCATTCCCTGGCTCATCCCCTCCTGCCCCTCTGTCTCTGCCTCCTCTGCCTCTTCCCTCCAGATTCGACTTCTCCTATGCGAACCGACGCTCGAGAAGGTTGCCGAACGAGGGCCGCACTCACGCGACGGCGCTCATGGTGTCGGACGGAAAGCGTACATAGAGCTTGGCCCGCACAGTTCCGTCCGCTGATTAAGGGGGGGCGATG